AGGTATCTATCTACACTAATAAAAGAGAAACATGAAAATTGGTGTCACTCTGCTACGCCCACCAGCCAATCAAAGCGATTATGCAAATTAACCCAACAAAGATGGTGGTTAATTTGCATACGCAGGCATGGAGCTAAGACTGAAGGCTCCAGCCGGAGTGAACGCTGAAGACTGAAGACTGAAGAGGCTTGGCCGCAGTGGAGAGGCCAATCCTCGCTGCAGCCGGACCAAAGGCCTGGGTCCTGGGTGCCAGAGGAAAACCGGTTCCAGGAATCAGGGGAAGGAAGGCCTATTGCACAAATCTTTGTGCAACTGGCTTCTAGTATATATATAAAAGCCTAATATATACAAACTATCCCCTCGGGAGTTCAACAGACTGGGAGTTCGATAGCTCATATTAATGTGCGCTGACCACTAGGGGGTGGTGCAGAACAAAGAAAGGCCCTGGCAGGCAGCCTGCAGCCGCTAGAGACCCTACCTGTGCATGAATCCGTGTTGAGTATGTACCAGAATTCCATTGCTTTTTAAAGCTGCATGCATGTGTATACCATAATTTGTTTATTCCTTTATCCACTGATGGGCATTTGGGTTTTTTCCACCTTTTGGCTATTGTGAATAACATTGCTATGAAATTTGGTGTACAAATACCTGTTCAAGTGCCTGCTTTCAATTTTTGAGGGTATATACGTTGAAATAGAATTGTTGGATCATGTAGTAATTCTATGTTTAATTTTTTGAGGAACAGTCATACCGTTTTCCACAGAGGGTGCACCCTTTTAAATTCCTACCAGCAATTCACCAGGGTTCTGATTTGAACACACACTTAGAATTCTTTACCTAACAAAGTCAATCACTTCATATAGAAATCTTTCTGAAATGTGTCACTCACTTTTCAGCCTTCTCAAAAGGAAATATTAAACAAAATGTAACCTTTATTTATTTTAATAATTTATACATATCGATGCCCCCTCAGGAGCTGCAGAAAGATACTTTTGCTTGAGATCTTGCTATGTGCTACTAGACTAGATTCTACTCTAAGTTATTTTTGGAGAGCAAATCAGTCCTTCCAAAATCCTGTGAAACATCACTCCCATTTCACAGGTAAGTAAATGAGATACATGATGGTGATGGAACTTTTCCAAGATCACGTAGCTAGTAAGTGAAGACAGTAGGATTCAAAGTCCATGACTTTACATGTTTTGTTAGACTCTTAATCATCTAAAACTGTTTGTCTCTCTCTATTAAATATCTCCAAGCTAATATAGTACACTTAGAAAATTTGTGTATGTTATTTAATGTGTTTTCCTCTCTGGAGGTAGTCCTTGTGGTAGTAAAGCACCTACCTCTCACCATTTTCTTCTCTCCAGCCCACATGTTGCTACTGATACCCTGTTACCATGAAAAATAGATAAAGAAGAAAGTTAAAATTATGTAAACAGTAACAGTACATAGGCTTAAGAGAGAATTTGAGGGGTCTATCTAAGGGTAAAAATATATGAATTTACATATTTGAAGTGAATTGTTTCTCTTTTGGTAGTTCAATAACCTATTTTGCTTTTTTCTGGCTTTGTGTATGTGTGTGTGTGTGTGCATGTGTGTGCGCGCACGCGTGCGCGTGTGTGTGTGTGTGTGTGTGTGTGTGTGTGTGTGTTCCAGATGCTGAGTCTACTTTTTTAAAAATATATATATTGTTATTGATTTCAGAGAGGAAGGAAGAGGGAGAGAGAGAAACACCAATGATGAGAGAGAATCATTGATCGGCTGACCGGGAATCAAACTGTGACCTCACACTGGCCGGGCCTGAGTCTACTTTTATGAATGAATATGCGTGCTCAGTCTTACTCATATTTACATTGTGTAATATAATGTAGCTTATTTTTTTAATAAAAGCTTGCCTCAAAATAATAAATACCCTTTCTATGTCTGATATTCTCTTTTCTTAAATGTCTATTGAATGTTTTCATAATGCATGCAAAGAAAGAACCAAGAAAAAGGTTTTAACATTGAAAGCCTCTGGTTGTACATCAAGACTATTTAAACTGTAGACCCAGTGACTACTGTTTATAGATGCCCATCAATACCAGCCTGGAATATCTTGGTAGAATGTATTTACTATATGTCATAGATATTTCCTGGGAAAAACAGATAAGTGTTTCTTTCTTGTGTAACATGTTTATTGTGAAAGTAGAGGCCTGGTGCATGAAATTCGTGCATGGGAGGGGGTCCCTCAGCCCAGCCTGCACCTTCTCCAATCTGGGACCCCTCAGGGACATCCCTCTCAAAATCCGGGACCGCTGGCCCCTAACCACTCTGCCTGCCTGCCTGATCACCCCTAACTGCCTCTGCCTGCCTGCCTGATTACCCCTAACTTCAAAGCCTGCCTGCCTGCCTGATCACCCCTAACCGCCTCTGCCTGCCTGCCTGATAACTCCTAACCACCTCTGCCTGCCGGCCTGATAGCCCCTAACTTCCCTCCCCTGCCAGCCTGGTCGCCCCTTGTAAATATGTCTCTCTTCTCCATGTCCAACGCTGCTAGAGAGCAGTCTGGTTCCTGAGTAGAGGTGGTAGGGATTGAGAAAATGAAAGAAAAAGACAGGCACAGAGGTGGAAGGAAAAAGCTAGGGCCAGGTAGAACCACTGTTCTCTGATGGAGACACAGGGACAGGGACCCAGAGCTGATACAGCATGTTTATTCTATATAGCAAAAAACAGGAAGTTTTACTAAAAGTCAAGACAAAGGAGATTATGTGCATTCTTGGGTGGGCCCGAGTTGTATTCATTCCTGGTGCTTGGCTGGATTGACTTAGAGAGAATGGAAGGGAGGGGGAGAGACTGAGAGAGAGAAACATCCATGTGAGAGAGACACATGGATTGGTGGCCTCCTGCACAAGCCCCCAACCAGGGCTGGGGAGGGAGCCTGCAACTGAGGTACATGCTCTTGACCAGAATCAAACCCATGACCCTTCAGTCCACAGGCAGATGTTCTGTCCACTGAGCAAAATCAGCTAGGACTGTTTAATTGTTCTTAAAGTGTCACCCATATTAACTAAGATAGACTGATTGTACAGTGATTTTTAAATAAGTTTTTTTCTGATCAATTAATAATTAGAAAACAGAAATTATTGGGAGTGGAGCATTATTTAAGGCTAATATAAACATGGGAAACTAGAGCAATGAACCAGATGAATTGTGGACAAGGCCCAGCAGCATAGGTCTTGAGATACGAAACATCCTCCCAAAAGGAAAAAAAAAAAATGCAATCTAGAAGGAACTAAACTTATTGAAGTTAATATACAATCAAAAATTGAAAACTCTGACCTAAAGAGTTTTATCATGGCCACAAAATAGTACAAAAGCATTTAAGGAAACCTCTGAATGGAATAAGTGATGTTTGGGGAAACAAAAATTAGAGAGTTTAACAAGCATATAGAACAGAATTGAGAATAGCGTTGAAAATGTAACAGCTACTTGTTAGGTCTGATCAGATAATCCAATCAATATTCTCACGCCACCCCCCCTACCCCCACCCCGGGAAACTGACCTTTAGACCAGTTCACAACCAACATTCTTTTTCCGCTTAGACCACATTCCATTTGCTAAGACCAGTAACTTTCCCCTCTAGAGTTGCCCAGGATCCAGACCAGACAGGCCCAGAGAATTACCCTCCAAAAAAGCTCATCGAGAGCCCTTTAAAATCCCTGACTCCCTGTCCCTGGGCGCTGGTACCATTTTGGGGCTCAGCCCATCTGGTCTCCAGATGATCTAATACATTTATAATTCTTTACCACATTCGGCCTCGTGCGTTCCTCCTTTGGTGACCATACCACTACTATGTTATAATAGAAAGTTAGTAGATGTACTCTATCAAAAGTTTGGACTATGCTTCAAGGTTTCCAGCTGAAAGAAAACAGTTGAAGGGGGAAGAAGGGAGGAAGGAAGAGAAGGAGGAAGGAAGGCAGAAAAAAAGATTTTTTTAAAAAATAAAATCTAGAGTTTAAGAAATAATCTGACAAGTTTATAACATTTCACTGAAACTGACAGCAAAATTATGAGCTGAATCTTCAATCAGGCCCCTAAAACATCTGTGGTGTTGTTTTAAATGACTAAGGTGAAATACATCAGGTTATGGAAAACGGGGAGGGCTTCCAGCAGTTGGCCAGTATTCTAGGTAATGGATGTGATGAGCAATTCCCTTAAACAACTGATTTACTGCCAACAGAGAAAACATTAGAAACACATCCTAAAATTCATCTGCAATTAAGATTACAAGAGTGGCTGGCTTCTCTGTCCACCTTCCCCTCCCTTACCAGAGCCGTGTGGCCCTGCTCCCGGCAAATACCTTCACACAAACGCCACCAAAGAACAACACCTCCTTCCCATAAACCCCTTTCCTTGGCCCTAACAATCAGTGTAAAACCCGCTTTACTGTTTTCTAACAGCTTCCTTTCTCCCTCCCTTTTTTCCTTCCTCCCACCTTTTCTTTCTTCTTTTCCTCCTTCCCTCTCTCCCTACTTTCCTTTCTTCCTAAAATCGATGCTTTTTAAAAACTACACACGGGTCAACCCTACTCCACTAGAAACCCTTCTCAGGCGACACTGTCAGGCACTGGGGCCCGGTCGGTGCATTCGCAACCACCATCTGGCACCTGGGACTGTTCGCCACTTTCCATCGCCCAGAGGTGAGAGGGGCGGGCGGCGAAGAGCGCGCAGAGCTGGTGTGACCCAGTTCTTCGGAAACTTTCAGCTGATCTCAACCTTCCCCCCAACCCGAAACCCTTTAATCATCCATCAAGCCAGAGAAGTGCAACGACCTCTCTAGCCTTTGGAACTGGAAAAGACGCGAAGCAAGAAAAGCAAGACCAGGAGGTTCGCATCTTTGCCTCACCACCGCCCAACCACAGCGCACGCAGAGCCGCAGCGCGGCCGGCAGGGGCCGCTGTTTACTCGGAGCAGCCGCCCAGCCGCTGCCGCGCCCGCACCTCCCACGCCCCTCCCGGCCCAGCCTCGCCAAGTTCCTACAGCCCCCAGCCGAGCGACCGCCGGGAACGAGCACCGCCCGGGTAGCAGCGGACGGCGCAGACCAGCCAGGCTGCGGCGCACGTCAGAAAGGCTCCTGGGAAACTCTCACCGGCCCGGGACTGGGGAAGGAGAGAGAGAGCAGCTCCAGGGCGCGCAAGTCTGCAAGGGAGTGCTCCGCTCGGCACCTGTTCCTCTCGCGCCACCGCCTTCCCAACCGCTCGGACCCGCGCCTCCTAGGCGCCCTCCCGCCCCGGCGATGAATCCCGCGCTGGGCAACCAGACGGATGTGGCCGGCCTGTTCCTGGCCAACAGCAGCGAGGCGCTGGAGCGCGCGATGCGCTGCTGCACCCAGGCGTCCGTGGTGACCGACGACGGCTTCGCCGAGGGCGGCCCCGACGAGCGCAGCCTGTACATCATGCGCGTGGTGCAGATCGCCGTCATGTGCGTGCTCTCGCTCACCGTGGTCTTCGGCATCTTCTTCCTCGGCTGCAACCTCCTCATCAAGTCCGAGGGCATGATCAACTTCCTGGTGAAAGACCGGAGACCGTCTAAGGAGGTGGAGGCGGTGGTCGTGGGGCCCTACTGACCGGCCCTCCGGCCCCGCGGCGGCCGCCCCACACCTCCCCACCTCGCCAGCCCGGCCGCGCCCCCTCACCATCCGAGACCGGGCGAAGCAAACCTGTCGGAGTCAATTATTTCTCCCGACTCCTGCCTTTCGGGATGAAGCGACCTGTTTCTCGCTCGCTCTTGGAAAGTCCCCAGGCCTGGCTGGAGGAGGAGAGTGCCCTCACTCTGGACTGAGCAGCAAGTGGCAAGAGGAGGGAGATTAGGGCGCAAACTTTGGAAGCTGCTTGGGATGCGGGAAAACCGACGGGGCAAAGGCCCTTCTCCACCCGCAGGTGGGCCAAGCTCTGGGGGCAGGTGGAGAGGGCGGGCAGGGGAGAGACCCACCAGCACCGGATGCCCGATGGCCTGGAAAGCGATCCGTGCATACGCCACGGAACAAAACTAATGGGGGCTCAAATCCGTGTCCGGATTGGCGCCCGTTCTCTCCCGGTCCTCCCAGCCCTGGCGGGAGAGGCGATGAATACCTTTGCTTGATTGCAACGTGCCGTTTTAAGGGGTTTTTGTGTTTGCTTGACTATAAATATTTGATAACTCTTTTTCTGCCCTAGTGACCTGTTTGCCTGCTCCGGAGTTAGGGTTTTGTCATCGTGGGGAAAAGGGTGGGGGAGGGGGAGCCTGCGAATGTGAACGGGGTGAGTTGTTTCTTTTATTTCATTCACAACTGGGTCTTTGGAGAGCGGGGCTGGCGCCACAGCTGGCCCCCGGCAAAGACCCGAAGTAGAACTGTGTCTGTAGCTCGTGACTGCACGATTTATGCCACAAAAGTGCTCTTGACATTCGTGACACCGTTTTGACTTTTTATTTTTCGTGTTTAACATTTCCTTAATAAATGCAATATTTAAGTGGTGTTTTTTTCTGGCCTCTTGGTGGTCATTGTGCGCTCCCTGCAGAAGGGAACGGGGCAAGGAGTCTGGTTGCCGGTCCAGAGAATTCGCTTTGGAGAGCTGCGATTCCACTCGTGGTTCCCACCGAGGGAGGAGGTGGGGACCAGAGAGAGAGGCCTGAGCCCAGTGAGCCGTGGCCAAACCTCAGGCCCAGGAGGAGCACCCTCTGTCTTCTCGGACAGTTAATATTTTATATTTCATTTAGACTCAGCTCTTCAGCCAGGCGAGAGGACAGGAGGGCCCAGTGGGAACATTACCCTTCCCTGCAGGCTCAGGCGGCGGGTACACAGGGTTACTCTGCTAATGAAAGGAAGAGAGGGCTTGGCCAGCCTTCGGGGAGGGCGTCTTTCCCCTGAGCAACCAATATCATCAAGAAGGCATCAGGATGCTACTCAAAAAAAATTAATAAATTATTTAAATGTGAGGAACAGTAGCTGCTAAAAAGTACATAGTGACGTTAATTCTCCCAGGGGTAAGCCGTTGTTACAAAAACATGGTGCATTGTCTTTGCCAAATTAAACATTTTCTAGAGAAAGGATGAGATTTAAAAAGAGAACCCACCTGCTCTTGAATTTAGAGTCATCAGGCCCAGCCAGGCAGAACAGTCCAAGGAGGGTTAGCCAGGCCCTGAATGTCAGAGCTGAGGGTCACAGCCCAAGCTGAGAAAGTGGGGCCTAAGTGGAGCTACAGATGGTCTTGGGCACAGTTAGGGCTCAGAAATGGAACAGTTTTGGAGAATAGAGAAAACCGTGAATGTGAAAATCACCCAGAGGAGGCAATAGCTTCAAGCTTGAACTTGGCAAGAGGTTTTGAGCAGTTTACTTTTATGCCCGGGTTCGGATCCTCTGCTATGCTATAGCAAGTAAAACTTCACAGTAGCGGAGAGAAGACTAAAAATTTCAATAACAATCCAGTGCCCTTTTTACTTGGGAAGAAGCACAACTGGTGTAAACAGTGTCAGTGACTCAAAGGGTTGGGACCTAGAGGTTTGAATGTCCTTTAACATCCTGCCCACTATTCAGTGTCTATTTCACTCTCAAAGTAAATCTTGCCAAGGATTATGACCTAGAATAATTTTTTGAATGCTAAATAGCATCAGGCTTGAAAAGGATTTTGATGTTTTGTCTATTGTTTTCAGCAGTAAGGGTTGGCTTGCCTTTTGTGTTTGCTTGTTTGTTTGTTTTGAATCTGGGGAGAGGAGCAGGGTCAACGTGTAGTCAAGGGCGAGTCATGGAGGGCAGTATGCTTTCGCAGATGTTCAGGACAGGAAATGGAGGCTTTTTATTTTGTGGGGAGTCTCTGTGGCACCCAGTGAACCTGCTGCCTCCATGTTTCAAAGGGAGAAACACAGCAGAACAACCAGTTCACTCTGGGACTAACCTGGCATTTAAATTAAACTCAGAGTTCCTATGGCTGCAAAATCTGCTGAGGGTCCCTTTCCCCCACAAATTTATTAGCCCCCCAGCGAATTCCATGTTGTGTGGAAATCCATTTTGGGATAAAAAGCCAATCAGCTAGGAATCTTGCGTTGGGCTCTGCTATGTGGGATGTACATGTGTATATAGCAAGTTTCAGACACAAGAAAGGTTTCACACCTCCAGGCCAGTTATTACTTGTTTCTAGAACACAGAGATTTCTATTTAAAGCTGAAGTCTTAAAAGTTGAGAGAGAGAGCCTGCCCAAGTTCCCTATACTCTCTTCTCTACTGCTACTATCTCTGCTTCTGTCACTACCATCTCCTCCATCCTTGTTCCTCTAAATACTTCTTCACCCCGCTTTCCTCTCTGCTGCACCTCAAAAGCAAAATTCAGTTTCTTTTTACTTCAACAAAGCCTCTTAATTCTCCTACTCCGAGAAAATGTGGTTGTCAGACAAATCAGAAGCTGCAACATTTAGTCCTCAGGTAGCAAAGATGCGTGAACTGAGCTCTGTGATCCATGGTCTATGCATTATAGGGAAATGCACAGAGGCTGAAAATATCATAGCTCTGGGGACCATTTCCTGCCAACAACTCTTCTCTACAGCTTCCTGATCCATTTGCTACTTAGAGAGATGCCAAGCGGCTCTGGTTTTTATAGATGAGGCAATGTGTACAAGAAGCTTTTTACACTCCCTATTCCCTGTGGCCACACAGCAACCACTTTCCGAGGCCCCACACCACTCCCTGTCTCTCTCTGCTTTGGGCTCTCTTTTTCCCGGATCCTAACAAATGCATTAAATGAAACGTTTAAATCCTGTTCGGAGTTTACGGAGTGTCAGTCCTTTCCCACAGATATGCTGCAAGGAAGGTGAGTTTTAAAAGTCACTCTCTGGGTTTCACATAAGAAAAACAACATCAGTTTTAAGAAACTGGGAACTGAGAAGAATTAGATGCAAACAGGCAGATTTTTATCATCCCTCACTTAAGTCCACCATTGGGTCAGTGATTAGGGGGAAGCCCCGACAGAGAGAGAGAGATGGCTTCCTGTGAAAGCTTGCTGTATATGACATGGCCCATGGGGAGGTCTCTGATACTCCCTGAAACTGTCTGGAAATGGATCGGAAGCAGGGAGAGGTTTTCAAGGGACACAGCAAGTGGATTGGTGGGGCTATAGCCCTCACAGGCTGTGCAGACGGCCACTGATGCCTCGGAGCCTAATTGGGTGGCCTCCATATAAGTAGCTTAGCCAATTGCTGGTAAGTGGTATTTTTCTCAAGAATGGTGTTATGAATCCTTCCACTCTCTAAAAAATGTATCAAGAATTTGAGCACCGGACACAGTGAAGACTGCTTGAGGGAAGTCTAAGCACAAAGGTCACACACGGTGTTAAGTCCAAGATCACACTGGCTCCGGGTGGATGGTTCCGCGCCTGCTTTCTGATTTCCAAGCCACCCTGGCCTCTCATTGGATCCTGGGTCAGCCCTGTTACCGAGTGTCCCTGCAGTAATTCTGGGGGAGGGAGGGAAAGGCACACTGACCATAGTGTAAGAACGACAGGTTCTGGTATCTAGGTGTCTGAGTAGCCTCCTCCCTAAAATGAGGAAGATGGATTATAAAACATTCCAATTCTGAGATTCTACTGAATTAGTCTGTTTCATATTTCCTTGTGTCTTAACATGTTTTTTAGAGCTCTTCAATAGGTAAGTTAAAAACATATTTTACCAAGGTTCCAATCTTGGTCCTCCAGGTAGAAAATCCCACCCCCCAAAAGTCAAATGCTCCTTGACGCGGGATATGTACGCTATTTACAATAATCTAAGCAGTATTTCAGACACCTAGCCAGCCCTCGGCAAACAGCAGTTTCTCAGCTGACAGATCACACATCACCTAAGGCAGACAGTGCCTTAACTATTCCAGATCTCTGTGCTCTCACTGGACGAAGCAATGGAAAGCGGAGCCCAGCGCACTCGGGAGCAAGTCATCAGCAGTGGTTCCCATAGGCGTACACACATTCAGACTAATATACACTGCTGTTTATTGAACTCTGGCTGTATTTCAAAACTAAGCAACAGCCAATTTTTCTCCCCTAAAGCATGTTCCCCTTCGAGCTTCTGCAACAGCGCACAGCAGCTGGTCCCACGCAGCGGTTCTCAACCTGTGGGTCGCGAACAATGAAAATCCATCCTGCATATCAGATATTTACATTATGATTCATAACAGTAGCAAAATTACAGTTACGAAGTAGCAACGGAAATAATTTTATGGTTGGGGGTCACCACAACATGAGGAACTGTATTAAAGGGTCGCGGCATTAGGAAGGTTGAGAACCCCTGAAGAGCCTTCCTTAGCACTGGCTTATTATACTTGTCACTTTGGGGAGGAGGGGTTGCAATGCCAGGAAAGGATTTCAGGGTTCAGTTTGTTCTCTAAGACGCAAACCCAATTTGAAAGCCTGTTGAAGCAGCAAGTCTACAGCAATCCCCCAAACAGAAATCAACAAATCTTTTATCTACCTGCCAAGTCCCACTTAGCTATGTGCACAGTAGCTCAGATGGGATATGTTACAGTCAGCTCCACCAGTGGCAACTGTTTCCTAATATCTGAATTGACATGCTCAATGGTTAATTGCTTCCATGGCCAACCTCACCCTGTCCTCCTTTCCAGATACTACATTTGTATTGTTTTAAACACTTAACATGTCTGAAAGTCCAGGATTATATTTATAGCATCAACTGAGATTTTAAAATTCGTGGAAAGTATAGTTTAGGGGAAAAATAAAGTAGATGATATTATCAGCAAGTCATAAATCATTTACAGTGATAACAAAATAGTCTGAATGTATTATTTATATTTGAGAAATTCAAAATATTTCAGAGGGAGCCTCTACAGGGACTACTATAAGGATAACTAGATGCATTTCAAAATAATCCTTAGCAAGCTTGCAAACAGTGGCCTGCTTTTAACCCAAATAACAATACAGTATACACTGAGAATAAAGAAAGCAAATTTTCATTTACTTGATTATTCATGTATGTTTTGAAGGGATAATAGGTACATAGTATCCTTTTCTAAATATATGTAGCTGAGTGCTTGCTGAAATATTGTTGAGTGTGTAAATGTAGGCAGAGTGATCAATACGTAAAAGTCAACCCATCTGAGGTAATGTTGCAACAAAACTCTGCCCTGCCCCCATTTTAAACTGGTTTCCCTTAAATAGCAATATTTTCTAAACTTAAAATTCAAACAGATAGTGCTTGTTAAGCACCCATGTATACATGGTACATTATAATATTCTAGAGTCCTGGTGCATGACTTTGTGCACCAGTGGGTCCTTTGGCCTGGCCTGTGGGGTCAGGCTGAAACCGGTTCTCTGACATCCCCCAAGGGGTCCCAGATTGCAAGAGGGCGCAGGCCAGGTCAAGGGACCCTACTGGTGCATGATCAGGGCCGGGGAGAGATGTGGGTGGTTGGCCAGCTGAGGAGGGACTGTGGGAGGGCTCCAGGGTGTCTCTGGCCCATCTCGCTCATTCATGATTTGCCAAACC